TTTGGTAATAAAGGAACTTTGTAAGTGCTCATAGAGGGGAAAAGATTGACTGTAAAGTAGAATTTGAAATTGAAGAGAGAGAAGGAAAAAATAATGAATGAATTTCCTAAAGGAAGTACAAAGGAGAAATAATGAAAAGCTGGGATGGGACTTAACTTTGGATAAGGAAAAAAAAAAAACCCACTTCTTCTGAGACAGGAAGAAAGTAGGAGAGTAATAGTGATAAAGCATAGAAATTTAGACGCAGGCTTCATTTGGTCAACTGATACTATGTGCGCTCCTATTATGTAATGTGAACAAATCTCAGCTCTTTTCTGCAGGGTGGGTCAGGGGATGGAGGAGGAGAGCGAAGCATGATACCCAGTACATGTCTCCCCCAAATCACCCTCATTCCAAATCCTCCCTCCTGAGCTTTCCATATTCTTGATAAAAGTGAGTGTTTTGTCGATTATCTAATGGGCTCTTAATCAACTTCCTTTAAAACTTCTGGTGGTCTGATTCACAGCTCACATTGGTATCTGGTATTTATCATCTTTTGGTGCCTCCACTGATCTTTTCAACTTAAAATCCTGTTATATAACATTACCTAAGGGGTATGAGACAAGTGAAAATACAATTTCAATTTAGCAAAGCAAGTGTTCTGTTCTGTAAGTGTTCTGCATGTCAGGTTATGGAAATACAGTGGATGGGCCAGGGCCCTACATAATAATCAAAGGCCGGATAGATAAGGGGAGTAGGAGTGGTAAGAAGGAAGGATGCTCCATTAGAGGGAGGAGAATGTGTGAAGGTCTGGAGGCAGGAGAATTTTTGGAACTGCAGGTGGATTAATAGGACAGGTGAGGTCAGAGAGCTCATCAGAAGCTACACCCCCACAAATACCCTGAATGCTTTCTGGGGTGTTTGGAACTGATCCTGAGAACAGTAGGGAATCCTAGGGGAGTTTTAAGTAGAGGAGTGACTGCAATCAATTTTGTGGTCAGAAATCATTCTGATATCAGTGTAGAGACTATACGGGAAGGAACAAGACTGTTAGAGTAGTTACTGTGACAAGGGATACTATCATATCCTGAGATAGAAGGAGAATAGTAGGGATGGAGAGAAGTGATATATCCTCGAGAATAAGATGGTGGAACTGCCAGATCTTATAAGTGATTAAATATGTGGCATAAGAGGAGCTACCAGGGGAAACACCCAGATGTTTGTCTTGGGTAACCGGATTGACGGCCCTGTTTTCAATGAAACAAGTATTACTGGTTAGATGTCCTAAAACTCCTTGTAAAGTAAGAGATAGTAGGGACGGTTGGAATGGTTTAGACTTGCTTTCGTTCACTGAACATATTTGTCTACTGTGCCAGGCTTAAAGATGGGGAAAGTGAAAGAAGCTATGGGATAATAAACAAGACACGTGGTGGGGAGGGGTGGTGGCAGAAAGTGACAACCTCAGGAATCCTTAAGTCCCAGTCAAGGTTAGATAACGTGAATTAGTGGAAGCAAGAGTCTTGGTTATGATCTTCTTTCAGTAACCCTGGACACTATGAAAGTAGCATCAGAGAAAGCAGATATTGATGGCAGGTGGAACCCAAGCTGCAGAATATGGGGGCAGTGTGGGTAAATTTACAGTAAAGTACAAGATGGAAGGCAATATCTGGGACTAACATGAGCATCTCTAAAATGCCTTCCCATGAGCATAGAAAGGATAGGGAAGCCAGAATGGGGCCAATGGGAGAATAAAGGCAAAGTGAAAGTCTGGAGGCCAATGCACTGAGAATGAAGGAGAGTGTGGTGAATAGGAGACAGCCATCAGAGAGAATGTCAGCGTTGAAAGGAATGGCAGTAGTGAAATTCCAAAAGGTGTGTGCAGATGTGATTTCACTTCATAGAAGGCAGCAAGTGGTTGCGAGGCAAGATTGTTAGAAGTGTCATGAATATGAATGATGACATTCCAAAATAGGGGTTCCACAGGAAGTCTATGAACAAGGTAAAAGTCAGGCTGGAAGTCAGTTATGGAAACAGGACAGGGAAAGAGCAGAAAGTAAAAAAGAGCGCAGAGTCAATTGTGTGGAGGAAGAGACACCGTGGTGAGGTGGAGGTGGGGGTGAGTGCTTTCCTTCTTGAGTCCAGAGGTATTACTTTCATTAGAAGGAAACTGGTATTATCATGAGAAAAGAGGTATGGGTGGCGACCATGAGCAGGGAAAAACATTCTAGGAAGGGATTAATTTTCAAGCAAATAGTGTGTTACAATAATAGAAGAAACCTCGAGGATGATTCTTTTCATTCCACTGATCATTGTGGAAGCAGGTAGGAGAGGGAAAACAGGGATGGTCAGGGATACATGGGATAGCAAGGAACGTGCTGGAAGGGACACAGTGAAAAGTTTTCCCCTCAGTGGCAATTTTTAAAATAAGTGAAATTGAGGCTCTCTGGGTCATTTGTATTTCTGGAAACTCCAAAGTCATTTTAAGTTTATTTGCTAAAATTTGGGGGGCCCATCATAGTTGCTGAGCATCTCCCTAATGAAATTCTTTGAAGAGGTCTTCCCTTTGAATTTTCCTTTCATTTTTTTAATGTTTATTTATTTTAGAGAGAGAGAGAGGAGATTGTAAGTGGGGCAGAGAAAGATGCGGACAGGATCCAAAGCAGGCTCTGCACTGAGAGCAGAGAGCCCAATGCCAGGCTGGAAATCGTGACCTGAACCGAAGTCTGACGCTTAACCAACTGAGCCACCCAAGTGCTCCCTTTTGAATGTTCTTCAAGTGCTTATGGAGAAACGTTAGGCAGAAAATACAATGTGATATGATACACAGGAAGATTATTCCCTACTGTCAGGGTCTGAACACAGAGAGAGTTCACTAATGAAACAAGTCAGAGGAGAAAACTTTCTATTTCCTATGAAATAACTAGCTCACATTAAATATCAGAAAGTAATGACGAAGAGGTGGAGAAGATGGGAGGAATATACAGAAGGTTTCACCCACACCCTGTTTTGTGGTTTTTGCCCTCATCCTGCCACCACACCTATGAGTTTCGCTTATTAAAATAATGAAGAGGTAGAATGACTAAAGCTGCTGACAATGCATAGAGCTATACATAGTCCCATAAAGGCTAGTACCAACAGACAAGATCAGTATTCAATTCGGGGAATGCCTGATGATGTTAGCTAATATTTTTTCCAGCTTGGTCTATCTGTGCATACTGGTGTGTGTACTTTTGTTTATCTTCAGCGGATCCTTGAGAAGATTAATCTCCTATCCTTCATTTCACTTACAAAATGTTGACATTAAAATCAAAGATAAAACGGGGATGAATTGGGGTAGGGAATCTAAACTATACATAGCATCCTTTTAAAAAAAATCCACCTAAGTGTTTAAAAGGCAACAGCAATTCAAAGTTTGGAACAGATAAAATCAATTAAAGTTTTATGCGGAAAATACAGCCTGGGCAACATCATAGGTACACAAGAGCACGATATGAACATGTGTAAAAATTCAAAAAAATAGCAGTCGTCATAGAAGCTACCATTAAAAGAGCACTCCCCATGGTCTAAGCTCTTTCCATGTTAATGTAATTTCGGTAATGACAGGAGGTAGATATCCTTAACCCCATTTCACAGATGAACACACCACAGGCCCGCCAAGAAGCCTTTGCAGCATCCACCACCAACAGGTGTTGGAGCTGAGCCATCTGACTGCCCTAGCGGTGTTTAAAAAAATCCCACTAGAGTCTCACTTAAAGCAGATCTACTCCACTTTTTAGGTGTGTCTAGTGACCTTCATTTTACCTGCCGAGTCACAATTTCAAGACTTGTCTTACAGTTACATTGAAGAAAGTAGGGTAGAGAAGTCGTGAGTAGGAGGAGGGGTAGGGCAGGTGGAAGAGAACAGGTGGAAACGAGGGGAGCTAGAAGAAACAAAGAGCAGGGCGCTGGCCCCCGGAGGGGCGAGGGGGGCGCGAGAAGGACCGCGCCGGGTGGCCG